TGCTGTGCACTGCAGCAGCTAGCCTCCCCTCTTCCTGCCTCATTAGCATTCCCCTCAGGGAACTTCCCATTCATAAAAGGACTATTGTGGAGTGGGCCGGGCATCTTGAAGGGACAAATCCTCTCCAAGGTCAGCGTTCACAACTGCCTCAGGGAGACACAAACCCACAGAAAATTATCACTGGTGGCGGAAATCACACGAGCACTTCCGCGTACTGCTCTCAGTACAATGATCTGCAACAATCTGTCATTCATTAATGCACACAAGGCTGTGTGAGACTGGAGACTGGAGCCCACACACACACACACACACACACACACACACACGGTGTTGGCTAATATGAATATTGAATAAATGGCTGACAAAGACAGCAATTTTAAAAAATGCATGGCTGATCACGGTACATTCATGCAGATGAGATAAACATTAAAGTTGCAACATGACTGATTCATTTGTGGACGAGAGCGTGTGTGTATCTATGTCTTACTGTCAAATAGGAGGTACTGGGGGATGAGTAGCACCAGTATTATGAGCCACTTCTACCCAGTGAGCTGTAATCACTGCTGGTTTAATGTAGAACAATGCCATACAACAAATGCATCTGTAAACCCAATCAAACTGAAGGATCTGAGTGATCCCTTGATGGAAGGATATCAGCTACTGTCCCTCTCATATGGCAGATATGTTGCTGTTGGATTGATTGCATGTTTAGTTTAAAGCTGGCCAATAGATGTGGATAAATTACAAAGACTTTAATACAACATTTGGACAAAAAATAAGTCTGCAAATATTTTGAAAACGGGCACAACAGAAGTCTCTGGTTCCAGCTTCTCAGATATGTTGATTTGCTGCTTTTCTTGTTTTATACCACTATGAAATTAATATCTTTGAATTCTGAACTACTGGCAGAACAAAATAAGGCACGTGAAGTGGTAACCTTGGTGTCTGTGATGAATTACATTAATTAAAATAATAACAATAATCTTGATGTTTTAGGGGGATATTTATGTGTCCCACTAAGATTAAATTTGAAGGGACATATTTGTTGTACATTGATGGAGAAGCTTCTGATCAAGCCTAACTGGAAGGAACAACTGAGCAACTTGTGCAATTTGTCACACAAATGACGTTGTTGTTCTTGTACGCATACAGCTCACGTGTCAGTTAAATCTGTGCACGCATGGCAGTTTAGGACCTTATCGGTGTTCAAACTGGAGCAAGACACGTCACTTACAAACATAAATGTGAACCATCAACAAAAAAAGATCAGATCTGACTAAAAGATGAGAACTGAGCATTAAAGTCTGTAATGAGAACGTAGACTTAATGACTTCATCAGGAGAATAGTAGGACTACTAACAAACTGTTCAGTTAAATAAGGTACAACACATGTCAGTGTTGAAAGAGATGACTGACAGAAATGTTCTTGTTATCAAGCTGATCAACAGTTAATATTTTAAGTAATCTGTCAAGCCAAAATGCCAAATATATGCTGACTTCAACTTAGCAAAAAGTAGTGATTTGCTACTTTTCTCTGTTTTATATCATTGTAAATCTTTAGATTTATGGTTGTCAAAATAAGTAATCTGAAAATGTCACCTTAGGATACTTGCTAACACAGAGATGTTTTGTAATGCAGAGCATGTTTGCTGTTTTAGTGTAGCATAAGACAAAGTGCAGCTGATGTTGACGGGAATGTCACTATTGGACAAATTGATCTTGTAGCGTGTTTTGAACATTTTGGTGAGATTTTGTTGAGAGAACAGATTTGTTCTTCCAAATGCAAAGCTCATTTCTCTTCCAAACCCTAAGAGGAGATGTATTACTTTACAAGACTCCATCTGTGTGTAGATATTATGTCAGGGCCCCCCATCTGAGAGTCACCATCTTTGTTGCTACACGTTGTTTTCTGCAGAACTGTTCATAATCTAGGTTGAGAAATAACTTTAAAAGTGGCCATTACTAAACTGCACATCTACACGCTTAGGTCTTAAGACACAATCAAACAGGTTCAGATAGTAACATGATGTCTTCATTGCCCTATTTCAGGCAGAGGAGCTGCCCACTATCAAGTGAAGGGCAAGTGAACACAAGGGGCTCAGTGAAAATCAATAGGGATCAACCTCTTGGTATCACTGCCACCTGTCCCTTTGACTCAAAAAAAAAGCTCAGATCAATGCAAATGTGTGCAGTTGACAAGGATCTAAAGTAGGAGGACGCTGTGGACGCTGTCCTCCTTTCCACTTGCACACAACACCGTCTAAGATTAGAAATTGAATTGGACCTGGGGAATGGGGGAGGAGATGGATTTGTGCACAGACTTGTCAGGAATTGTGTTTTGAAAATATTTTTACATCATAGTAGTGATTGAGCAGTAGAAGCAGGGCAAAAATAATAGTATTAGTAATAGCGGCTCTAATGTTATACAGCAGATTTTTTTCATTACAGGTAGGAAATCTGACACTAAATAATGTGATCACAGCATGGAGACCCCAGGCCTTTGTGGCTAACAGCTGTTTTACTGCCAACATGCTTTCTGAAGAGCCAGGCTGCTTTTAACTTCGTTGTTTCCTATAAAACTAGTAGTGACTCTGACATTTTCGTTCACACTTGGCATAAAAAATGCTGTGAAACACTGCTGCTTTCAAGTCAGCATTGGTGCGTCGGCCCGGGTTTAAATGTTAGAGGATCCCATTCTGAGGAACAGCATGCTGGCCGTGTCCACTGTGTGATGTTTCACTTCAGGCTAGAGGAATCAAAGCACCACCTGCAGACAACAGGAGCCCCTCCTGCACAACAAATGCTACTCTCCATGTCAAATACCCTCACTTGAAATGTCAGAGATCTTCTGGCTCTACCTGCCTCCACTGTTCCCCTGCATGATGAAATGAGACAATGAAGCAGTTTGTTTAATGTTTGTACCCTTGCCAGCTCATTGCACACTATATTATTATTTACAGAGATTACACACATCTCTCTGAGTAGGGACACAACTTGCACTGCCTGGATTCTCCGAGGCAGGTAGCCATTAACTCCCCGAGAGCTCGACATTATTGTTTGAGTCATGCTGCTCTTTGTGTAATGCTGCAGAGCACATTTACAAGCTGAGCAAACCTATAATCAAGAAGGTGATAGAGAAGGGTCATTGTTAAAGAAATTAACAGCTTGACTAAATGACTGTTTTCCTTGCAAATGCCAAGAGGTCACCTAGGGGAGTGGGGGAAATGATGCCCTGAGACTGGCAGTGTTTAAACAGTTCAGCAGAAGAAAAGAAAAACTATTACACACCCTTTAATGGGAGTTTTCCTACAGTGGCTGGCCAGGTGGTGGCTTGGATATTGCTTAGAAAAGCTGCATCCATCAAAAGATACTGCATGTATAGCAGCATGAGTGCTAAAACTGAGCTGTAAGCGACGCGCTATAAAGTTTGAACAGTGACGATTTATGAGATGTATCAGAACTAGTGCTACAACTACTGACCATTGTCATTATCAGTTAATCTGCTGACTAGTTCCTCCAATCGCTCAGAATATGAAATGTCAAAACAACTGTGAAAAAGTGTCCCTGAAATTTCCCAAGTTCCCATCTTCACCGTCTTGTTTTGTTCACCTGAAAGTCCAAAACCCAAAGATATTCACTTGAAAATTATAAATTACAAAGAAAACAGCAAAAATTTGCCTAAAATATAACTGAAAGAGGGTGGCACAGTGGCAGTTGCCTCACAGCGAGAAGGTTCCGGGTTCGGGCCCCACCTGGGACCTTTCTGTGTGGAGTTTGCATGTTCTCCCTGTGCTTGCGTGGGTTCTCTCCGGGTGCTCCGGCTTCCTCCCACTGACCAAAGACATGCAGCTTAGGTTGATTGGTGTCTCTAAATTGCCCATAGGAGTGCGTGCGTGTATGTGGACCCCGTTCAGGGACTAAGCGGTAGAAAATGAATGAATATAACTGAAAGACTAAACCGATTAATCAAATTGCAACAAATAGTTGTTCAGCAGATATCAGAATCATCATATATAAAACTAAACTCTGATTTCATGTTGGGACATTTGATAAATTAAAACTATGCTGGTGAGTGCGTGTTTATGGAAATAAAAATGGGAGGTCTACAACCGTATGAATGCTGGAACTAACTTGCCACAACTAGGCCTAGCTCACATGCATGTGGCTCGATGTAAACGCACTGGGTTTGTATAAGCAGGCAGGCGGCCTGACGAGATTCACGTTTTTGAATGGAGGCCATCTGGGATTGGCCAGGGCTTCTGTGAATGGAGCCGGGGAACGTCATTCAGCACCGCGGACAGCTCCAGCGTATTCACAGCAGCGGCTCCGGCCCTGCACGTTTCCCGGACACCCAGTACAGGCTCCTCCGACCCACCGTGGTTGGTTAGAAGATGGTAAACAAAGCATGGCAATCAGACTGAGAGTCTAGCCGAACCACGCCTGTGTGCGGGGCTAGTAAGTGAACAAACATAAAAGCCTTCCGCTACATTAGGCAGGGAAACCACCTCTTGACTAATGAAACGCTCTCGATATGAAGTGGGGAGGCCATGATGAACACCTGGCGGTCTGCGACAACACACACAGGCCCCAGGTGTTTGCACAAGCCAGCATCCTCCTTCATGCTCATTAAAATGTTGTAAAAGCTAGGCTATAAAAGCTCTGCCAATTCTACCAACCTTAGTAATGGCTGAGCAGGCGGATTATGAGCTACAGTAGCGCCAGGCGTGCTTCAGTGTCAAAGAGCAGAGCGTGAAGTAAAAGGGCAGGTGGAGAAAAGGCCTAACAGGCCCTCCATCTGTACATTATCACGGGGCCTAAACACAAAGAGGAGATGAATGAACATGAGGCCCGGAGCCGGGAGTCTCCTTGAATCTGTCACCCGTCTCCATGGCGACAGGAGGAGGAGGAGGACCATAACTGGCATCTATCCGGTCCCAAATCAACAGATGGCCATCACATCACCCCCCCTCCCTGCCGCCCCCTTCCCTTTTGCAGCCTACCTTGCACTGCTCCATGCAGGTCCTCACTGAATATGCCCCTGGCTCATATTTCTGAGTCAGGAGCTCAAAGTCCTCGTATTTCTCCTGGGCGTGCTGGTCGTAGTGCTGGTACGCCTGAACGCACTCGCTGCATCTGGCCGTGTCGCCATCGCCGAGCACGTCGAGGCTGCAGTTCAAATTGCCCGGACTTGCCGTGCCGTAAAACACATCCAGCAGAGAGTAGGAGTTACAAAAGGAAAGGTACAAATCGCTCATATTTACAGCCCGCGTCCCCTCTTTGCCGGAAAGGTCCCTGCACAATTGGTCGGCATCTGCAAACGTGAAGCAGTCCTTAGATAAACTATCCTGGTGGCAAGTTTCAAACCGCCACAAATGTTTGGTAGAGTTCTTTATAAAAATAGCATCTGGGTTTCCTCTGAGGCTGCTGTGTGCTGAGTGGGTCTGGGGTGAGGGGGGGTGGTGGGAGGATGCGAACTTGGCCACTTTGGCCTCGGCGCAGAACCACAGGTGATCAGAGAGGAGGATGGTTAAGAACAAGAGGGATGCCAAGGACAGTCGCCATCTCTGCGCCCTCTCTGAGTCGGTGAATGGCTTTTGGTTGTCGCGGGGGGGCTCTAGCCAGATTTGGAAGCCGTCGTCATCTTCTTGCTGCCAACACGTCCCAGCACCCCTGGTCATATTTTGGGAACCGGCCGACTCCACCGTGTGGGCTCCTCTGCCGCAACAGTCATTGACGTGGGGTCCGCTTCGCGTTTTCCTCCCCTCAAGTGTCGGGTGGTCGGTTGTCCCGGCTTGCCTTTGCGATCAGCGGTAATTCCCATTAAAATGAGCGTGGGCTGGATGGGAAATCAGACGCCGTCGACCACGGGCCGCATCCTCCATGGCTGACCGGTGAAGCCGCTGTCCTCCCGTCCGCCCTGTGCTCCGCGCCGCGCCGCTCCGCTCCTCTGCGTAGCCTCGACTCCGTTTTTAGAAACACTCACCGACGCGTTTACGTTTTCCCCGGTGTCGGTCGTGCAGGGACAAGGGCGCTATCCTCTTCCAACATGGCGAAGCTGTCTGCCTTTGTGTCGGCGGATGGGCCTAGAGCCTGTAACAGACCTATTTTCTTTATCAAGCCCTCACCGTCTCCATCTCGTTGCCGTTGTCAAGTTGCCGCCATGTTCGCCAAAAGACGGTGTGTTCGAAGAAAGTCGTCAGCAATACTCAGTAACATTTCCGGTCATAACATTAAAAATAAAGGTCACGAGCGGAGTTGTGTTGCTTTGTGCCGTATCTGCCTCTGTGTGATCTGAATGTCATTTTTATCAGTTTCCTGGTTGACGCCTTAAAATTAGTGCGTATTTATGCCCCCCTGAATCAAACCTCATATGCAGTTATGGTTTTTTCCTACTGAGACTGTTTCACTTGGAGGCTGTCTTTGAGGATATTAAATGTCTGGACGGGTGAAAGCATCCACTAGGCTATTTCACAGGAGGGAATGTTAAGTTAGACAAAAGTAAGAAAACAAATAATCATAAATTAATGTATAATTATATAACGTATATATTTTGTCTTTCTTTCTTTTTCTTACTTGTACTGGTTTGGGCACTTAGTTGTCCTGATCCCCAGGTTACACTAGACTATGCTACCAGGATCCAACTGTTCTTCGTGTGTTTAAAATATAGGCTAGTTCAGGGCTTCACTGTTACCTTCTGTTTTTACACAGTAAGCAGTTTGATTAATAGTCTGGTGGTGCATTTAAGACTGCTGTTCAGCTCAGTAAACCAAAGACAAACTGTTGTGCTTACTGCGTTTTTAATAAACAGAAATAAATTGTATAGTGCACAAAGTAATGCGTTGTGCTGCATTTTGTAAAGAAATATATAGTTTTATTTTTAAGGTGAAATCTCCCAACATCCGGTCTTGTGCTTTTGGTCCCGTGCTTCATTTGACCAAACGTCTCCAGCGCTGACGTTATGCGCGCGCATCGCAGTCACCGCATCTCTTGGTACTGAACTGTACTATCAAGTCAGAGAGAATCTGCTGAAATGTCCCCAGAAATGTTGTAACTATGACTTCAAAATTAAAACCTATTATGTCAGTCATAAAAATACCGTTTCCACTATTTAGAGCTACAGAACAAAAAACAAAGAAAGAAAGTCGCTTAAAATTAAACCAAACTGCTGTGTAATAGATACTAAACAATAAAATGTGCTAACACTTCTAAAAATGTTAGTGATGATTGTTTTATTTTGTGAATTTCCACTAGCAGACTCTAACAGTCTCTATTCTGGTTGGCTTAACACTGGACGAGTCAGGTTGGTACTCACCTGGTTTCAGGTTCAGGTATGATTGTTGACACCATGTTTAAGCCTATTTAAACTCAGATTCTCTCTACTCATTGGCTATCAACGGGGGCATGAAAATGTGAAATGCATTTACCTCCTTGCACTCCTCCTCATCCTTCTCCAGGCAAATAGTTTGAGCAGTCGTGGATAGCTCCCTGGTAAAAAGATGTTTTGGAAAGGGCTGTTTCTTTTACTGTTAAAATGTTTAGCAGTGAAGCAAATGGGAGCGTTTGAAAATGTGCTAGTTAGTGTAATGCAGACCTAGATAAGCCAGAGGCAGGTAAGGATGTGATATTTAGGAGATAAAAGACTGATTCACACTTTTACTGATATATCAATGTTTCAGCCCTGCATGTTTGATCTAATGTAATTTATATACGACCACCCATGTGTGAGGCACCAAATGGAGCTTGCATTACTGTTGTTCTGATTCAATTTCTTAATTAAGGGTGGGCCATGCTAATTGCTGCAGACCAACTATCCCTGCATCCTTGGGCCTGTGTTTGGTCTCTACAGGAGCTCATTGCTTTCAGCTGAGTTCATGCAGCTGCTGGGTGTATAGGGTCCACTTTCAAACCATTTGTTTCTGTCTGTGTCCAGAATACTGGCCAGTACATCTTTCTAATAGCAACAGAGCATTTTCCCCATCTATAAATATTATTTCTGCAATGCTAGCTTTTCAGCTCCAGGTTTCTAGGAATGATAATCCACTCCTGTGAGTTTGTTCAGAGGAACAGCAGAGGGTCCTGTCAAGACCAGCTGTTGTGCAACTCATACTGACAAAGCCACACAGGAATAAACACCGGTTGAGTAGCTCAAATTAAAACCTGCCAGTCAAACGCTCGCTGTGCAACACCTGGAAATAGTTCAGAGTGGGCGACGGGTTACAGAGCGCTTACTAAGGCACAATATTTTTATATACTGTATCAGTAATAGTGACGACAAATTTTCTCTCAGAAATTCTATACCTTTGTAATATTTTTGACAGTGGCAAAGAAAAGTTCAAATAGTGTTGGAAAGGCCAAGAATGCCTTAAAGGTAGAGGTTTGATTCAATTAATAATGATGTAAAAAGTACAACAAATTTAAATCTGCAAACCCTACAGGGAGCTCTACTACATGTTAATGAGAGCCATTATTCAAAGTACAGCATATATTAGGAAGAGGTTTCTCATTACTTTTACTTTGAACATGTGTTCATGCAGCGTTTACACTCAATAATGCCCCGGACACAAACCAGGCAGCTACCTGCACCCTAGAGGTGATAGTAATGAAGATTATGACATACCAGTAAATCCAAAGGCACACTGGTGACATTTCCAGAGACAGGAAAACATGGGGACCTCATGTGGAAAGGCCTTGAGCTGAATCAGTTTTAATGTACCCCTGCGGTGGCTGAGTCCATGCTGAGGAGCTGAGGCAAAGGAATCACTTCACACAGATACAAACTACTCATTTTACAGTAATTCCGTTTAAAATATTTATTAGAATTCTACATCATATAACAGACATAAAAGTTCAGAGGCACAGATCACAAAAATAGAGCAAATTATTTGAGTCTCAGCACAATAACAACCTGAAGGTGTGAAACTGGGAAGAACTTAGGAGGCAAACAGGGTCTACCAAAGATGCTGTCCAGTTGAATTTTGGTAAATGATAGGATTCAGTGTGTCTGAACCATACTATGTACAAAAAAATCAGGATATTTCAATCTCTATTGCTTAAATTTGAACAGTTCTTTCTTAAATCAGTCTCTCATAAGTCACCCAGCTTTAGTGGAGCGCCGTACTGAAGTGTCACTTCAAAATAAAAAAATAAGAATGTGTCAGTACACTGTGGATTACTGGTAAATTTAAATCTGAGAATAACTAAACTTAGAGAATTGGAATTCAACTTTGGTTTCAGTAAAGTGGAAAGACCTCTTCTCCTTTTAAGAAATTAATTTAATAACTATTCAGCTAAAAGTTTAAAGGGAGAAAAACCATCTGAAAAGATTAATCAACTTCGATATTTGAATACCCCATAATGCAATTGTAACTTTCAGAAGTGAAATCCCTGTGGCCTCTTCATTTAAAACCAATAACAAGCAGCCTTAATCACTCATTAAGAACACAAAGATAAGACTCATAAAGCTGTGTTTGCACGAAGCCCCTGAGAAGTGTACTTTAAAGTCAAACCTCTTACAGTATCTCACTTATCTCTTGAGATTGTGATCAACTTATACAATTAATTGTTTATTGCTAATCTTACTAGTGATTAATTAAGATGCTAACTAAAAGATTTACCTCCAGTGTCAAGATAAATCCTGGGTATATCACCAGAAGACTCTTCAAACCAAGTAGTCAGTGTCATTTAGCAGATACCCTTCTCTGATTGAATCAGTCACCCATGAGTCTCTTACGATCTTAAACTTCTTCCTAAAGCTGCGGCGCTGAGTTCTTAAATCCAGGAGTCTGGTTTCTTCTGTGATAATCACATGTGAGACTCCTTCCTCTAATTTCTCCACTACTGTGCCTCCATGGTAGCGAAACTCCAGTGCCCTGATGTCCAAACAGCTGGCAGATATGGCGCTTTCAGGATCATAGCTGTCCATGTAAACTTTGAAGGGTCTGAACATGCTGGTGGGTAGGTCGTCCCACCTGTAACGCTGCTCTACCCAGCTGACGTTCATGGCTGCCGACACGTCTGCGGTCCTGATCCTCCCAAACACCTCCCGCAGCTGCTGCTCATCTGTGTCCACAAAGTAGCTGTCACCGTACCCGTCATACTCCTTGGCAAAGTGCTCCCTGGTGGAGGGTGACATGTGGATCATGTGGCGTGGTTGCCATGGGACCACTTCCTTTTGGTCCAGGCACTCCAGCAGCCAGGAGGCCCACACCACATCGTGCTGGTTGGACATAATGAGGTTCTTCACGCGCATGTTCTCCACACCTGCAATCACGCAGTAGGTGTCCTGTCCTGGGTTTTGAACCACGATACCTCCACACCTAATGAGAAGCTGACATCAGTAATCACTAATTTATGATAGGTTACATTAAATTACAATGAATTACTGCAGCCATTCACTAACAAATTCAACAAATCAAGTTAGGTGGTCGTAATATGTCAATGTTGTGCTTACAGCTTGCTTCTGCTGCCCCCATGTGGCCAGAATAAGATGTTAATCCAAGTTTAAGGAATTACAAAAATGAATAAGCAGCTACCTTTCATCCTTTTTCTACAATTTGAACAAACTAACTCATAATCTCAACAAACGTCCTGTTACCTGGCCACACCCTTTTCCAGCTCAGCCTTGGGGTGATCCTCGGTTCCATTGAAGATGCAGAACTCAACGTCCTCAAACATATCCATCTCCCTGGTAACACCAGAGAGGTCCTGAGGCTTGAAGTGGTCAATGACCCCGACCACCTTTTTGGGTTTGACTGGTAGCTTGCGCTTTTTCTTTTGTGGTTCATTGTCACTGATGCGAAGGTGGCGTGAGGCAAGTTTCCCAGACGCCTTGCTGCGGAACTCATCCAGCTCTGCCAGAGTCATGCACTGGTGCCACTCCTTGTCATCTCGGATCTTCTCAATCCTGGGGAAGCGCAGTGTACAGCTGGTTTTATACATGTCACTTCCAACTATTTCAGCTGCCTTGACCTGGATGATGACCGAGTTGCAGGGTTCGATGTAGACCTCTGGTTTCTCTGTCCCACACAGGATGGATGCTGGTGGGTCATTTTTCCGGTAGACTTTCCAGTGCTTTGCTAACTTCAAGCCAAGGTCATACAACTCCTTCATAGTGTAGCCAGAGCCTATGCGACAAAGACTGTGGAAAACTGAAGGCTTCTCACCAGGCTTTGGAGCTTCAGCAACAGCACACAGAAAATGGGACATCATACCACCCCTTTTGCCTTTCCCCCAGTAGCCGCCAACAATCAGCAGGTCAAGCTCATCCATCAAGCCATCAACATATTCTGGCTTTATTTTCAGCCATTCCTCACCACGCTTGTCAGGTTTGTAGATGGATAAAGGATCCTTCACCATGATCCCCTCTTCTCTGTTGTCTATAGCTTCATTGAGGGCATTTACCACCTCCCGCATAGTTCGGGCTTCAGTCTTAGGCACCAAATGTATCCTTCCCTTGACTTGGCTGAAAACAGTCTGCAGGGTCTCGTGGCGCTTCTTCAGTGTTTCCTTCCCAAGCTTCTGGTTATTGACCAACAGCACATCGAACACACAGAAGCATGTCTGTAACTCAGAGTCATCCATCAGCCTCTTGATGTCAAATTTGCTCCCTTTCTGCATGAAGGTCTCTGTGGTTGTGTTGTATGCCATCATCTCACCATCAAGGATACAGTTCACAATGTGACTTTTAAAAACATTGTGGATGTAAGGTGTCAGTGAGCCCTCCAGTGGGGATCCTCCAAATTGCTGTGTGTACTCAAAGGCATTTCGACTGAAGTATTTGTACACGTCTCCATCTTTGTGCAGCTGAATACGCTCGCCATCCAGCTTGGTCTCAATGTAAAAAGGGCTGTTGCCCATCTGTTTCTCCACATTACGGATGTTAGCCACAGCTGCTAGCATTGGCTTGAAGGCAGAGAAAAGTCCGATAGAGACTTCACTTAAAGACACAGAAGGGTCGTGGAGCTGCTGGCACACCTTTTTTAAGTCTGTGTTGACATTGTAGAACTCAGCAGCATCTGGGTGGAAGACTTGTAGAACAGTTTCTTTGCTGATCCCGAGTTTCATGTCCTTTAGAATCATTCTGATGAGCCATTTTTGCTCAAAAGCTGTGCTCTGGGTGATGAGGTGCAGCAGACTCTTCTTCACAAGATCCTTCTGCTTGCTAGCATTGTTGATGGCCACTGAGTCCAAAAAGTCATTGACTTCTTTAATGCTGAGCTTTCCTTGGCTGGTGCACCGTTTCTTCAGCACAAAGTACGCCATGCCAGCAAAGTCTCCGGCTTCTCCTTGAGATGTGGTCGGAGCTCGATAGTTTAACAGTTTATTTGCTTCCGTGCCGTTCTTTGGGAGGCCCAATACATCGATGTAGATTTTCGCTAACATGCTCTCCTTGATGCCATATGCCATGCGCTCTCGTTCAAAAGAGGGAACTATGAGGCGCATAGCTGGGTAGAAAGAGTCTGTTGTCTCAGGGTTGTCTTTATGGAGGGCTGAATGAAACTTTCTCCATGACTCAATAAAATCCCCAAGGACTTTGGATTTCTCTGGACGGAGTTTAGACTTCTGGATTTTCTCTAAAATAGTGCATAGGTGAAGGAATGGAACCTCAGCTGCAACAGAAGGCTGTTCACCAGAGTCACATTTGGAAGTTCCCTCCATGGTGAAACCTGTAATGCATGTCAAAGATAAAAATCAACCCAGTACTACTCTGCAATTAATTTAATTATTTCCAGTAAATCCATCAAACAGAAATTATAAGTCATTTAATGAATTAGGCATGCAACAGAAAAACACTCAACAAACTTAACAAATGTGAGGATTTAAAGCCATTATTTGTCTTGTATGACAGCAAACTGATTTTTTTGGGGTTTTGGAGTATTGGTTGGTCAAAACAAGCAACATCAAGACATCACCTTGGGCTTCAGGGAATTGTGATTGTGATTCTTCACTGTTTTCTTACACAGACTAAAACATTAATCACTGAATAAAGAAAATAACCACAATCTTAACCAATAATGAAAATGATCTATTAATGGCTGGCCTAATTATTTATACACATATTACTGATTTGTTTTCAATGAAACATTTTAGTGTGGTGTTATGGTGTAAATGTATTTGTGAGAAACAATTATATCAATTACAGGCTATGAATCAGTATAAGGTCATCAGATGACCACTGGGTGATTCCCACTGATCTGTTAATTTAGACTCTTCGGATTAGTTACAGACGACAAAGGAGGACAAATTCTGGACTAAGTTTATATTTGTAACGACAGCCTATTGTGATATTCTGTGTACACAAAACGTAACGTGAAAGAATTTAACACTCACTGCGCTCGTACGTTGCAAACAGCAGAGCGTCAAAATAACAGAACAGCTCGGTTTAAGAAACAGTAACAATTCATATTAGCAAAATAATTAAACAAACACACGTTAAGCCCAACCTTGTTCTTTAAAAACTCCAATTAGTAGATACTGGATGTTGTGCTCTTCCTCCTCAAGATATAGTACCGCCAATGAAAACATTCCCCTGGAAACAAAAGCGAAACATTTGTTCCTATATGAAGTTTCTTTTTTTTCTTTTTAGTGTTTTTAGGAAACTTTAAAAAATAGTTATATTGAAGTAACGTCACATTATAAGAACATTACATTTTCCATATTTCATCTTAAATTATTAATTAGGACTGTAATTTATTTTAACACTGTGCTCTATAGAAAGCAAATGTTATCCCATGGCATTTTTGCTATATATCTTGTCTGTTTGTGGCAATTTTTAATTTAATGTAAGAAACTTTGAATGTTTGTGAGTTTGTCGCATTATAACACAATCTAGATGTAAATTCGTCGTGGACATGATAATACATTGTTGCACTTATACTCACCAGCAGAGGGCGGCAGTGCTAAGGAAGTGCAGGCAGTCAGGCTGCCTACCATCCAGGGCCTGGGGCCAGTGAATCAGAAGTAACCTGGTAGTAAAACAGGAATTCGTTTCTCCTCACTGCAATGGTAATGTGAATTATTTTGGATCAGAGTCCTGTTATAGCAGGTATTATTGTCACTCAGTATCTCCCTGGTCAGTCAATGTAGTAACATTGCCTTGACATTGATTGTGATAGTGATTATGAATATAAAGATGATGACAATTCTATGATCTCCTCTTATTTTTGGTTGGAAATAGTCCTGGATTCAGTTCTTGGTCCTCTATGGGGTTTACATGGTCTCTATATCATCACCTAAGTTTCTTCCAGGTGCTTCAGTTTCCCTAAACTGCCAAAGAATTGAGTTTCAGGAGTAGTTTGAGAAAGAAGTGTCATTTGGGTACACCATGTTGCTACTCCTGCCATACCACATCAGGGCAAAATTAACCAAAAATCAACAATATTAATCAGAGGCAAATAAGAGCTGGAAGAACCATCATCATACATCTTACACCAGAAGGTTTCAGGCATAAAAAAAGCCAGTTATACCTCTACTTAATGAAACTGCAGGATTTTAAAATGCTGACATTCTGTATGTGATCTGAACATATAGCCAGTTAACTTATTTAATCATCAGTCATTTAACTTGTTGCCTGCTCATGTCTGGATAACAGCCTCACAACTTTAAACCTTGTGCTTTGTTTCTATTACAAACTTGTTTTTACACTCATTAAATGGTAGCTGGTGTATTTCCAAGTACAATACATGCCATTACTTGTAGAGTAATGTGAAATCATTCCAGGAATGTTTTGTTCCTGATCAAAAGTTTCTGAGGCTTGTACCGACCTAGATTCCTGAAAACACGGGTCACATTGCTCACCCAGGCAGAACCGTTTCCTCAAAAAGAAACACAGTTCCTGTTGACTGTTTTTCATAAGAAATATGGATGGACTCAGGAGGATCTGTCAGCCATGTGAGTGGTGTGATCACTTTGTGCTGTTTAATTATTTATTTGAATGCCAAAAGGCTTCGCAGTAGCTACAAACAGCAAAATATCAAGAACACGGCTATATTTGTTGGCTGTTTTATATGGTTTTATTCAGATAACATTTAAATATTATGAGTCACGTCTTCCCCCACTTGTCTGTCTTTATAAGACAAATCCTAGTGTCACACCAGATAATTTAATTGTAAAGAATGGTAATAATTTATGAGATTAGGGAGAGACAAACCACCTCCCTCCTTACTGGTTGGCAGTCTAGATCATCACTGTCTTCCCAGTCCAACTAAATCTTAATAAATCAAAATTGGCCAGTTGCAATTTGTAATGGTAATAAAATGAATACTGTGGATACAGCAATAGGTTTAGTTTGGTGTTTCCCTATTTATTCTAATTTTAACCTGAATATAAAATCAGCTTTTGATCATATAAATAGACTCCTGTTTCACTTCATTAGCAGCCCAAATTTGGTGTTGTTTACTACTTCCTGCTGCCAAAAGGGGGCGCCCTGTGGATGTGCAGGAGGTGCTGAGTCACATGTGAACCAGGGTTGTTTACTGCTCCACTACCTCTGTTTCTACTGCAGTGGAGGATCCTGGGATATGTGTGGGGCAGGAGGAAGCCCATTTACAGCTACTATGTACTGCAGCAGTGAACCAGTTCTGTTTTTCACTTTACGCACAGTGCAGATGAGAGAAGAGGAACGCTGGCCCACTGGCTTTTTGGCTGTTTATAGCCTACAGTGTGTGAGCGTACAGTATGTGCCTGCATATGAGGGGGTGGGTGATGTTGTGCAGGCTGCAGCGTGACCCTCACCCCTACATCATCAACACGCACACTCTGCAGTCGACGGCCCATCATGCTGTCATGCAGCAAGCAGGCGTGTTACATAAGCTCTGCTGGATGTGCTGCTGCACTGCAACCAGAGGAGACCTACAAGACAGTAAACAAGTGACGTCACTGCTTCCGTGGCATGCATCAGCTCCACCAGGACTGGAGAAGAACTGGTGGGGTAGGACTGAGTGAGATTTTGGAATAAAGCAAAGGAAAGAAGAGATAAAAATCCCCTTCAACATGGCCAATGATTAAACAGTGCATCAGCCTCCTGAGCTGTTGATGATGTGTGGAGACAGAGACTGTCGTAAACACTTCCTGTCCCCTGCTGGTTGATGACACACTGAGAAACGTGTTTGCCAAAAGGCTTCCCACTGATGATTTTCATAAGCCATTTTCACACATGAACTGACTATGTGCAGAGCCGCCTTTTACACATGTAGCACTAAACAGGAGACAGGGTGTGAGACACGTTTGGCCCCTGGGTAGAGAGCACAGGAGGCGGTACATGACACCGCCACTGTTTGTACTTTGGTCATAAAAGACCTGGTCTCCTGCCATACCTTAATTTTTTGTCTGATGATTCTTAATGCAGAAGTTTTGTATTTTGACTGGTGTTCCATTAGAAAGGTTAACACTAACATCACAGTTTAGGGTGCCCCCTGACCCCTTGGGCTCCTGGGCCTGTGCCTGGTAGGCCCGCTCCATAATCCAAGCGTCTCTGTCAAAGTAAATTGAATATCATTGGTTTTTGGACTTTGCTGTGAGCAAAAGAAGATATTTGAAGCTGTCACTTTGGACTTTGTGAACATCATGGGCATTTCCACTGTCCTGACATGTAATACACCATGTATGACATTTTTTACAGTGCGCATGTGAGGGTGCTTTTTCAGTACAGTATGTGCCCATGTGTATGGAGACTAATATGTGTTTGCAGCAGTTGTTTTATAAACAGAGAGGAAAAAAAACACTGCACACTTGCCAAAGCCACTTCTAAAGCACCACAGCCTCAAGGCATGATTGAACTCCTTACAAGATAATCTTACACAAATGTCAGGAGAGGTGAGTACAAGGAGATCCTGTTCACCCAAACTGCAGAACATCAAATAACGTTCTGAGCCAGACAGTACAGAGATCTTCCTCTAAAATTAGACATCGCTGCCCTTCTGCACTAAAATCTGCCCCCCACCCCCTTTTTTCCTACCTGTTTAACAGCTATTTGTCTCTCTGTCTCTCCCCTCACTATAACAACATGCTGTGTCATAACAGCCCTCTGTCTGTCTGTTTGTCTGTTGTTATGAAATGAATTTCCAATAAAATCCTGGACTGTTCTGTGTTTTCATCAGACCGTGTGGAAAGCCATCTGACCTCTGCAGCCGTCTCGCTCAGTTACATCATGTGGCATAATAGTAGCAAGGTCAAGAGGTCACCACAGTAGCTCTGCACTCACCCCAACTCTGCAGATAAACTCACAAAGAAGGTCAGGCTTACATTATGAACATCTAATAAAAAAAGCAAAAGTACAATGTGAGTGGTTTGAACCAATGTGTTTGATAATGGGCTATTATTAAAAACTGGATGTCAGCCAGTTTTCTTTGCTGATCATTTGGACATTTTCTGACCATAGCTATATAAAAACTGTCTGTTAAGACATATTTTTTATTCATATATTCTATGCAATAAAAATATTTGAAAGAATATAAAGAATTTTTTTTTACTTATTCATGGGAGAACTGACCAAGAGCAATCGCTGCTGAAGTGTTTCCTCTGCACCCTGTGTCTGTTATTATGAAGAAACATAAATACTCCTCATGTTCTGTTAGTACTACACCGAGTTAAATTAGCTCTGGTCTCCGAAGGCTCCGATGTCACTGGGGCTAATTAAGACTTGGAAAACCATAAACACTGTTGTTGAGGCCGTCATTAGCATGGTGGAATTGTGTGTGAAGGAAGGTGTTGACTTAGTGCTGCACACTCTCACCCTAGCTTTCCACTGACACCTAAGCCCTCTCGTTTGGCAGGTGCCCTTCTTGCTGGTGTTAAATTTAGGTACTGTTTTTGACACCACTGATTAGGCCATGATTTATTTATGTAAACCCAGAGTTGGCACATCATGATACATACATCATAAAAAATAACGGTAACCCGAGAGGGCTTCATTCTCAGGGCTCTTATTTTATTTTTATTCACAGCCATGTCCAAATTTTCTATTATGTGTATGTGAATGACACAACTTTATATTTTAGTAAAGGCTCATATTATTTTATTGCTAAGTAAGTGGTGCTTTAATTTTAAAAACCACTGCAGTTGTGTGAGTTCTGACTGTGGACCACTGCCAAACACTGTGAACACCAAGTAAAGATAAAAGAGTAAGTTAATTAAGTTGTCAAAAAACTAATAAGAAAATGAATAGCCAGTAACTGTAATAACTGACTTATCATTTATGTCATTCTAAAAAGGTAGATTAATCAGTAATGGAAATAATAATTTGCTGTAGTTAAAAGTTAAAATTAAGCAATCAACACAACAGCAAAGGACTCTGATAAAGACCCCATCTAAACTTATTTGAAACCCATAACACTTTTCATTCCATTCACACTTCATTTTATCCATTCACAACTTTTTTAAAGCTACCATTCAGCACGTATATCTGATGCTAAAACTTGAATGAGTT